CTAAGATATACTATATAGTAGGCTAAACTTATACTATTTACTAAATATTAGTTTAATCTTATAGTTATAAAGCTATTATATAAGTAGCTTATTAGACTCTTTTTATAAAAAGACGTCTATTAAGTTATAATATTTCTAAGAGACTTTTGTAAGTAGATTAGTATACTTTTTCTTAGTTAGTACTTTATTAATATTAGTAATACTAATAGTATAGATTTTATAGCTTCTTTTACGTACTAGACTTATAAATAAAGTAGTACTTATATAGTAAATATTAAGTTTAGGCTATAACTTTAATAAGTTATTCTACTTATCTATTAACTAGGCACTATTAGAGTTAGGTATAGATTTAGGTATAGATTTATTTAGATAGCGCTTTATCTTAGGTAGCTAGTAATTATACTATTATTATAGTATATACTTAAGTTTTAAATTCTTAGAGTAGGCTTTATTATATCTATTATTACTCTACTATATCTTAGAAAAGAGAATAAGAGTTTTAGTAGCTCTAAGATAATATTCTTTATATTATTAAGTAGTAAAGATTAGTCTTTTCTTATTATAGTCTAGGTTTACTTAGTACTTATTTATCTAGAGTTAACTAAGTATTAAATTATAATAACTAGTGTTTATAACATAGAGTTATATATATTTATTATAATTATTATATTATAGTTTTAGAGTAATAGTATAAAACACTTCTCTACTATTAAGTATAGTTCTAGTAAATCTAGTTAAGTAAATAATATAGAGTAGTAGGTCTTAATATAGTTTTAGGTTGCGTATAAAGTCTTTATAAATATATCTAATTCTAGTAGCTCTAGTATTAACTAAGGCTTTAAAGTTACTCTTAATACTATCTTATTAAACTATATAATATATTATAATATAACGTTTCTAGGTATTAGTCTAAGATTTAGACTAGAGTTTAGTAGAGATTTAGTAAGTACGTAGTTCTAGAGAGTAACTTATTCTTAGAATAAGGCTTTTCTCTTCTAGAATTAGTTATAAAAATATTATTTTTAAAATTATAAAGATTATAATAATTCTAATAAAATAGAACTAGTAAACTAGATATAGTTATAGTTACGCGCGCTATAAAATTAGATATACTAAGTAGGTAAAAGAGTACTATAATTCTTAGAGATATAACCTTTCTAGTTATATTTAAAGTAGTAGTTTTTCTTAATTCTCTTCTATTATTTAGAGAAACTAGTAGAAGCGTATACTAATATATCTATCTCTATTATATTAGAGTAAGTTATAGAGTAGCGTTATAAATAGTCTAGTAAGAAATAAAAGTTATTATTATATATAGATATTAGGTTAGCGTAATTATTAAGGTTACTTAGTAACACTTCTCTAACTATTATACGTTAAAGTTTATAGAATAAAAAGTTCTAAAAAAATATAATTAAGCTAATCTTATTTAACTTAGTGTTAGTAGCTAGTTATTAGAATTTAGTAAAGTAGAAGGTAAAGCTACACTTTTCTTAATAGAGTTTACTTAATTAACTAAAAGCTATTAGCTTCTTATTTAGATCTTTATAGATAGCTTTAAGAAAGGTAATAAGCTAGTCTATATTATAGATATTCTTATCTATAAGTAGATTAATAAGAGCTACTACGTTCTTCTTAAGTCTAGAGTAGGTATATAGTAGGTAGAATCTTTTATTTAGGTATTAGTCTACGTTTCTCTTAAGCTTATACCTAAGCTTATAAATAAAAGTAGAAAGATTCTTTTATTAGCTATTAAATAGAGGTAGGTTAAGTAAATAGTTAGTTTAGAAAAGGTTCTTTAGGTTTACGTTAAGCAGTATTATAGAATTTAAGCTAATTCTAGATAGCTTTTCTAAATAAACTTAATCTCTTTTAGTGCTAGTTTAAGTAATAGCTAATATAGGTATATACTTCGCAGTCTAGTATACTTTATAGTCTACCTATACTAAAACTCTACTAAAACTCTTTCTATTATAGCCTATTATAATCTACTTTAGTATAATATAGTATAAAAGACACTAAAATAGTATTAAGAGGCTATCTCTACTTTATAATTATATGTTTACGCGTTATACTCTATATTATTATAATATCTATAGTGTTTTTAGAATAGTTTACTCTCTTTAATATACGCTAGCCTTTTTACTCTTTTTCTATTATTACGCGCTCTAAACTTCTATAAAGTAGTTCTATACTAGCTATTCTCTACTACTATAAACTTTTCTACTCTAACCTACTTTCTTTTATATAATTTACGCTACGTAGTAGTTTTATTAGCTACTTAAAGCTTAGTAATCTTTTTTTAGACTAATACTAGCTTATATATAATTATTACTACGCTTTTTAAAATCTTTTTAAAGGCCTCTACTATAGAAGTTAGTAAGCTATCTATATACTTTTAAATTCTCTACTTTACTAGTATTAATTATAACTCTATTTTAAAAGTATTACTAGAGGTTTATAATAGCTAGAGTAAGTTACTAATAGGTAGTAGTAAAAAGGTGCGTAAGCGTACGTTAAGGTCTATTATAACTCTCTCTAGATTAAATAAAACTAATCTAGTACTTCTAAACTCTTCTTAGATATTACTAGAAGTAATTATAGTATTAAAGGCGCGCTTAAAGTAAAGTAAAAACTTAAGTTTTATAATATAGCTAATCTAGTTATATATTAGCTTCTTAGCTTAGTAGCTATATACCTTCTTTAATAGCTTAAAATAATCTATATTAAGTAGCTATAGTAGGTAAGATAAGTGTAGAGGTATATATAGAGTAATAATCTTTCTCTCTTTATAGTATTACTTAAACTAAAGAGTATTATAGCTCTTATATTTATTAATAATAAGTAGCTAGTACTATTCTATAGTACGCTTCTCTATATAGATATTAAAGTGCTCTAACTATTAGAAACTAATTTTATTTATAGTTTAACTATTCTTAGAGACTAAAATTAACTAATACTAAGAAATAGCGTTCTCTTTATACTAGATAAAGAGGTAATAGTACTCTTTAAAGATAATATAGAGTAGAATAGTCTATTCTATTATATTAATACTTTAAATAACTATAGTCTACTTATAATTACCTAGCTAAATAGACTTTAGTTATTTTTACTTCTCTAAAGCTATAATAATAGCTTTAGTTAATATTATACCTATTATAAAGCTAGTCTTACTAAAGTTATAGATATTCTTATTCTAGATACTATACTTAGCTTTTATATTAGCTACTAGCTAGAACTAGGCTTAAATAGCTATAGAGTCTTTATAGAGAGCTCTTTTATAGTTATACTTATAATTAAACTTTACTTAGAGCTCTAGTTAGCGCTTAATAAATATACTAAGCTATCTTAGGCTAATCTAGGCTAGATTACACTTAGCGTGTAAGAAATTAGCTATATTAGCTATATTAGTAAAGTAAGAGAAGAATTCTTACTTAACTAGGTTAAGTATATACTAAATAATTACCTTCTTCTTAGTCTTATATAAACTTATTATTATTAGCCTATAATCTACCTATAAGAGTTATCTAGTATATTAATAGTGTAAAGTTATATAAAAGATATTATAAGTAGCTATAGCGCGTTATAATAAGAGAGTTATATTTTATTTAATAGTCTAAAGTGTAGTCTATATTCTAGCTTTCTTTAGTAGTTCTATCTAGTGTAGTTAATTATATATTATAGAGTAGAGGTAGTTTTAGTAGAGTCTTAGTATAGATAAACTATAAAGTATACTAGACTGCAAAGTATACACCTACGTTAGAGTAGTAGTAGAAGTAGACTTAGTTTTAATAGACTTAAGCTCTTAGCGAAGCTCTAGAATCTATTAGAAGTATTAGTTTTCTTATTTAGCTAGATTAGTAAGTAGTGCTTTATTACTAGCTTTTAATATAGTAGAATTAGCTTAAATAGTATTAAGCTAGTTTAGAATTAATTATAACGCGTTAGATTATTTTTAAGTAGTTATAGTAGTATAATATAATATAATATTATAAGACGCTATAAGTACGTATTTAGAAGCTTACTAGAAGTGTTAATTATAGCTACGTATAATATCTAGTATAATACAAAATGTTGCGTAAAAAATAAAGTAGAATATAGAAGTAGTAAAAGATATAGCTAGTGTTATAGAGATAGTAGGTAGAGAAGAATAGATATACGTAATTAGTGTATTTACTACGTATTGCTAATAGTATAGAGTTAGACTAAGATAAGAACGTAGCTTAAAGAGCTTCTAATAGAACACGTTTACGCGGGAATTTTAGTGTTATAGATTTTAGGTAAGCTAGCTAGCTACCTAAAATCTATATAGCTAATTAGAGTATAGCGCAGCTCTTAGCGCTTCTTACTAGCTACTACTATAATAGCTAGAGCTATACATAGCGCTTAGGCCTTAGCTAGCTAATTAATAGATTTTAGATAATCTAGTAAGTTACCTAAAATCTGCGCGTTTAGGTATTAGAGAAACGATAGTAGTTACTGTAACACTTATTAAGTATCTAGTCTACTAGAAAAACCTCTTGTTCTAGAGTTAATTACTACTACTATTAATATACTATTATATATAGTTAGTAGCTTTTTATACACTCTTAAAGTAGTAATTAAAGAACTCTATACACTTATATAGCTTATTACTAGCTTCTAAAAATACTAGTATTAAGATTATAAATAGTATTATTAAAAGTAACTTCTTAGAGATCTATATTAAGTATGTAGCGTTAATAGTATAAAGCGCTAAATTTAGAGTAACGCGTTGTAGTAGAGTAGCTAAGAAGTATATGTAGCCGAAAAGTATATAGCTAAGCTTAATATAGCTCGGGCGTTAATACGCACAGACTAGACTATAGAATAATGTAATTCTACTATAATATTGCATAACACACGTGTAACCGACCTACAGCCAGCTAGAACCTATAAATGCAAGGTTGAGTGATCTATGTTTGTAATCACGCAGCCTGTAGGCTATTCTACTGGTCAGCATCTGCTTTGTGGTTTTCCAGCTAATGTGCAGAGAGCAAGACTGTGATTGCCTGCGCATCAACTTTCCCGGCTCTCGTTAAGGGGAACTCGTCGACGCAAGCAATGTCCAAAGGCACAGCGGCTCTAGGCAGCGTGTGCCGCATGGCGTCTCTGACTGCATCTCGACACAGACTAGCCGGCTGCACCATGGCCACCAGTCCATCCCCCCTTGCAGATTTCGCGAGCGCCACCGCCCTGACCGAAGGAATCGTCTTGACAATGCGCGTCTCAAGATCATCCAGATCGAGCCTGAAGCCGCGCAGTTTGAGCTGGCGGTCTCTACGACCGAGACACACAACCTCGCCGTTGTGGTCCCAGTACCCGTCGTCGCCGGTGCAATACATGAGCTCACCCAGATCCGGGCACACGGTATCTGGGACGAAGCGGGCAGCCGTCTCGACGGGCATGTTGGCGTACCCCAGCGCCACCTGCACGCCCGCAATGTGGATTTGGCCCACGGCGCCAGGGGGAAGCAGGCGGCCGTCGCGGCCCAGGATGTACAACCGCGACGTGAGATTAGGGCGGCCGATGGTGACGGGTCGGCGCGGGTGGAGGCGCGTGATGGTGGCGCCCCCAGTCCCTTCGGTTGGGCCGTACATGTTGTAGAGCTTGTGGCCCGGCGCCCATGCATCGACGACGGAGGGCGGCACTTGCTCGCCCACGAGGTACACGGTTTCGAGGTTCGAGAAGTCGGCGGGCAGCAGAGAGCGCGCGACTGATGGCGTCATGATAGCGCTGCTCACGTGATGCAGCACCGAGAAGGGGTCAGCGGCTGAGGCCTGGGGGCGCAGCACTAGTGTGGCGCCGTGCCCCAGGGCGGAAAAGGTCTCGTGGATGCTGCCATCAAATGCCGGCGACATGAACTGGGCAATGCGAACGCCGGGCGCGGCATGCAGCCGCACCTGGAGGTCGCTCTGGAAGGCGACGAGGGCCTGGTGTGTGCAGAGCACGCCCTTAGGCTTCCCCGTCGAGCCGGACGTGAAGCAGAGGTACGCTGGGGCCCGTGGGCGCGGCGTCCGGCTGGTGACGGCGGTGGCGGTGCTGGTGGCTGTTTCAGGTGTGGCGGGAAGACGGGACATCGGTTCCTGGACGAGGCAGTGGGTGCAGCCATCGGGAACGAACTGCCTCTGCCATTCATGGCCAATGACAAAGACACGGCTCCGCGCTGCTCCAAACATGTCGCTGCGCAGCTGGTGCGGCAGCGTCACGTCGAGACTGCAAAACGTCGCCTCGGCCTTGAGCGCCCCTAACAGGCCCACGATCCATTCCAAGCTGCCGTCGGCATGCACACACACGACCTGGTCACTACCACCACCGCCAACACCAACACCAAGCTCCTTGAGCCTCTGAGCGGTGCGCGACGCAAGCCAGTTAAGCTCGGCGTACGTGACGCGCACGCTGCCCATCTCTACAGCGACGGCATCGGCGTGCAAGCGTGCCGTCGTCTCGAATACTGACACGAGATCCTCACTCTGGTGCGCGGCACGCGTCGTGAATCCGGACAGGCAATTCCCCCATGCGCGAAGGCGGCCCTGTATGGGCACTGTCATGACGCCGCCCAGGCACTGCTGCATGCGTATCGAGTGAGTCAGCCGCTCCAGCGCGCTCACGAAGCATGCCGCCATGTCCTCGACTACGCACGCTGCGTACTTGTCAGTATGGTACACAGCACGCAGCGTCATGGCCGCTTCGTCGAGCGCCAGGCTCAGCGGGATGCTGCTCTCAAAGTCGTACCGCACCGGCCGAATAGGGCGCATGCCGTCACGTGTCGGGTCGCTGTCGAGCCCTCGCGTGACCGACAGGGCCGCCTCAAAGTCGCGCTCGAAGCCGTGTTCACACGTGCTCCACTGGTAGCACGAGAGCTCTACGAGATCGCGGAACACGCCCTGCACCATCTCGTCCGTCGTCATGTCCTCGTCGACACTCACGTGTAATGGCAGGGAGTTGAGCAGTGGCCCAATGACTGTGTCGATGCCGTCGAGGGCCGTGTTCCGCCCGCTCATAATGGTCCCAAACACCACACGGCTGCTGTCGGCATACATGGCCTGCACCACCGCCCAGGCTGCATGGAACAGAGCGGCTACTGTGACTCCCAGCTGCCTGGACCTGGCCTGCAGCCGCCCGCTTAAGTGCGCAAAGTCGACGTTGACTTCGTTGCGCATCCGCTGACTGCTGGGTTGCTTCGCTTCTTGCATCGGCTTGCGCACGTCTGGACCGGTAGCCGCCCCCGCATGGCCTTGCACGCGCTTGTTCCAATATTCTGTCGCCGCTGCCCTGTGCTCTCTCCTCACCATCTCGAGCTCTCGCGCGACCGACAAGAACGACTTGCCTGCTTTCACTCCCGCTCCTGTCTCTCCTGCTGCCACCCGCCGAACCTTGTCAGCTAGCCGTTGCATGGCGAATCCGTCCAGGAGGGCGTGATGGATGGAAAGCATAATCGTGGCCTCGCTGTCGCCATGGCTATGCCTGCTGCTGCCCGACGCCTTGTACACCACGCTCTTGAAGACGAACGTCGGCCCGGCTTGCCCCTCCACTCTTGTCAATTCTTCCTCGTACGCCTTGCGGTCAAACGTCACCACGTCCGTCCATGGGAATTGGAACTCGCCCTTGCGCATCACATATGCGCCGGGGCCGGCTTCTTCAAACGTCGTCCGGAAGATGGGCTCAAGGGCCATGACTGTCTTCCAAGCGTACTTGATGAAGGGCAAGTCTTCGAGATGCCATGTCTCAAAGTAGTGGATCGTGCTCTGGCCGCTCTGGATGAAGGCGGCTTGGAGATCAGTTGCCGGCGCAGAATCTGCATCTAGCATCGGCCCGCTTGCCACTTGTTCTGAGAGTGGTAATGGATCCTCCAAGTCGTTTGACTCGTGCAGAAGCCTTGATCGTGCCGCGTCGATGACCATGCTTGCACCGTCTTCCTCTGCATCGCTCGAGTAGGCGGGGCTTGGAGTCGAATCTTCGGACGAGGAGAGCTCTTTGCACTCTGTCACTTGTACGATTGTCCGAGACTCGAGTTTCTTGGACGTTACCATGTCGTCTTCGAAGGGGCTCTGCGCGTCTACGGCTCGCAACAAGTCTTCGATGGAGGGCGATGTGAGTAGCGCCAAGACCGTTGGCGGCTTCGACACTGTACGCTTGCATGCATTTTGCACTTCGACGGCCGAGATGGAATGACCTCCTAGCCCTGTGAAGCATTTCGATGTGTCGATGCTTTCTGGTCGTACGCCTAGGGCTTTTGCGATGCAGGAGAGTACCAAGGCGCGCTCTGAGGATGGTGATGCGATCATTGCGTAAAACGTGGATGAAAGTGTAGGAGGAAAACGAAAACTGAGAAGCGCTAAGGTGTATGAAAAGAATGCTCGGATGCCGATGGTTGATCTTGTCGGTTACAATGGGGTAGTTCGTGAGGGGTAGTTGTAGGCAATGGTATTTGCTTCACACTACAAGAGAATAGTAGGGGAAGTAGTAAGAATAAGTCTTGCTAGTCTCCTTGCGTGCGCAGCGCAGGTTAAGAGCAAGTTCCTAGGTTGTGGCGCTAACGAGAGAAGTAAACCTATTGGGACCCAAGCGTTCTTTTTCCTTGACTGTGTCCCTTGGGTTACATAGTGCAAGAGATATCGAACCCTCCCGTCTACACCTGTTCGCTGGTGCTATGGTACTGGATCAAGTCGATGCTCGGAGATATCCTCCTCCGTGCCCCCGGCATCTGCTCCTGAGTTGTTTCCTCCGTTACCTGGTCTTCGGGAACCGAGAGATGGACCCAATCGAATGCCGACATGGGCCACTTCAATCCTCATAGGCCAAAGGATCTTTCCCCAACAGATACCAAGGACTGGAAACATGATGAGCTCTAGGTCCGATCCGAGACCAGTCCATTGCAGCTGTAGCTGAGGGAACCCATGGTACAAGATGTCTTGCAAAGTTTTCCCGAGAATCTCTGCAATGATTCTTGTCTGCTCTTCAGCTCTGTCCACCCTCACCAGTTCCTTGTTCCTCCATCACGATTCGGATCTGGCTATACAAATTCACTCTTCGATTACCACGAGTATGGTAGATATTAGAGAAGACGGCTGGGCGTTCTCTGGTTCTTCACGCTGGATTTGTGAATGCCTTTTCTGGGCGCATCCAGAGTTATGCTGGTATCTGCACGAATTATGAATATACAGTTCCGGAAGCCGACATGATGTCTGTGTTGCCAAGCCTTGCGGCTCTGGCCATCATTATGCTACGCGGAATTCTCATCTTTGGTCCGTGTGGTCCGTGTGTATACGCTTTGCTTGATCGTTGTACACGAGCTTCATGCGGTGCAAGGTATGTAAGAGCTTGGTCAACGGCCTGATCTTGATCTTTTTTGTACAACAGGCTAATAGACGTCTCAGCAGTCACACTACCTAGGTACGGTTGGCTTCGTCACATCAACCAGGACTCATCACATGGCAATGGCTTTCGAGTATGTTCTTCTTGATTCGTAGTGCGATGTTCGCGTACCTATCTTTGCCAACTCTTTGGCACCAAGTCAAATGCGCAATGCCACGCATTCCTCAGTGGATAGACCTTGGTGATGGTCCACCCCGCACTGTCCGCCAGCGCCATCCACTCGTCCCTCGTCCTCTCCACACCATTTGCTGCAATCATCATGTTCATGTCACCATACCTCGATAGCCTCTTACTCCTCGTCGTATCCAGCATCTCCTCCAGGATGATCAACTTGCTCTTCTCTCCAGGCACAATTGCCTTTTCAATGTTACGCAAAATGCGTCTCGCATCATCATCCCGCCAATCATGCAGCGTCCACTTGATCGTATAGATCCTGGACGGCGGAATACTCTCAAAGAAATCCCCCCCAATTAAATTCTCGACCGGAATCTGCGCACCCACATCCGCAAACTGTCGATCGTTCGAATGGAACAGCGGCTTCGCGTACTCGATGACATGCGGCAGATCGTAGATACCGCCCTTGAGCGCCTTGTGCGCGCGCAACAGCATCGCAATGAAGCCGCCGCCTCCGCCCCCAATATCCATAATCGTTTCGCCGTGAAAGTCTTCCCACGGGTAATCGGCTAGGATACCGGGTGCCTGCGCGGCCGCACCCGCACCGAGCGTCGCATGCAGCTGCGGGACCCATCCCTGGCCGCGAAAATACTCGAACATGTTGAGATCCGTATCGTAATTGATTTGCGCCGCAGACCTTACGGCGTCCTTGCGCAGCGACGACGGTATACCGCGTGCCATGTCGTAGAACTGGGTGCCGTACAGCGACGCCCAGCGATGCCACTGCGTCCAGTGGTCTGAGAGGAGGAGTCGGGACGTGGCATTGTTGGTGTACGTCTTTGACGTCTTGTCGAACGCGAAGATGCCGTTGCTGATTAGGACGCGGAGGACTTGGGCGAGGCGGTCGCTGCGGGCTGAGCACGTGCCAGCGAGGGAGTCGATGGTTGTTGGGCCCGAGGTTTCGAGGGCGTCGGCGATGCGTAGGTCGACGGCTGCGACGAGGCATTTGGCATGCACGTAGCCTGGAGTGGGGGTGGTTAGTTAAACGCGGGGGGCAATATGTGGAATTGGATGGGGGGCTTTTTCAACATACCTAGGAAGTGGTCGGCTAGTACGAGGTACCCTGGCTCGAGCATTTGTTCAATCTCGTGCAGCAGGTCGATGGATTTGTTGGCTAGGCGCTGTAGCTCTGGATCTGGAAGAGAACCTTTGGTGTGATCGTGCAGGCCTTTCTGTAGTTCCTGGCTGACAGCTTGTGATTTGAGAGTGCGGAGGACATCTTCGAGGTGAGTGTTTAGAGAGGTCAGGGTGCTGGCCATTGTGGTTACTAGGTTTTCGTGCGCTTACACGAACTGAAAGATGGGTATAGAAAGCGATGATAGAGAATGTTTTTCACAATTGGCAAGTCTTGAGGAAGTGTAATGGCATCGATATGATGGCGTGAGGAGGACGGTTCGATCTACGATGTTGATACCGATCTGGCTAGCGCGAGATCGGGATCTTGGTGGGGATGTAGGTCGGTACCCGACGAACCTCAGCTGCGAAAGAGTGCAGCCAATAGTCAGACACCATCGATGTACGGTACCTTGATCGTCAAAGTCGTGGATTGGGCGATAGTCTGCAATACGTTGGGAGATGGCTGCCTACTAGAATGCTTGTGTATGGGTGCGAGACTTGGACATGTGAAACATTATGGGTACTGCGAAGAACAGCATCCCTAGGGAACAATGTCTCGAGACGATTATAGAGAGTGTCGCGTGTCTCAATTACTGGTGAAACTAAGTAGTGCGGTCTTCTGAGGCGAATTTGTCGACAGATATCGTTCAAGGATAACATGCGAAGGATATCAGGACTGGCTGCCCTAGGTACTAGATAGTTCATTGGTGAAATATGTTTACCAGTCTTTCCTCTGGTTATACAGCTGGGATTCAATTCATTGCTTATAATCTACAGACACTTTGCGTTATGTACATTTCCCATACATGCCCGAATGGGAAGAACAAGGCTCACACGAGGCAAGCGAAGAGGCTAGCTAGGGTACTTCCGTAACGCCACTCTGAAAACCTCCTTTCATGCCATGTCGATCAGCTTCCTGTTCAGTGAAAATGTTGAATATGTCGACTTGGTCGACCTGTGCCGGGTTTGTTGTCGGAAAGGCAAGGTTCACGCCAAGATACAGCAAGAATCCTGTTGCACCCCCGAACAGGAATGAGAGGTCAAAGAGCTTCGCCGCGCCAAATGTGACATGAACGCCTGGATTGATCGCATTGATGAAGCCCGGCAACTGCGGTGCCCACGTGACCACCCACGCGAAAATGGCTCGCCAGTTGAAGCCATGAGTATACCAATACGGAGCGTACGGGTCCGTGTCGTAGAGCGCAGATAATTGAAGGCGACGGCGTCGAATAACGAAGTAATCGCAGATCTGTATCCCTAAGATGGGACCGATAATGATGGTGTACGACGAGACGACATTGAGAAAAACCGATGCACTCGTGAGGAGCTGCCAGGGACATGAGCAACAGGCTACTGCCAGTGCGAGAAGGGCTCCGCGCCGGATGTCGAGGTACTTGGGCGCCAGACCAGCGAGATCCATACCAGTGCTGAATCCATTCTCGAATGTATTGACCACGAGTTGACAGGCCATCAGACCAAAGGCCACGAAGAAACTGGCAGCCCGTGTTTTCGCCGAGTAGTCATCTTCCAGCCATCGCAGGGCTATCTCTGTGGGGTTCCAGACGGGCTGTCCGTAGATTGCCTGAGTTGCTGATGCAGTGATGCAACCGAAAAGTGGCATGAGGGTGCCGAACAGCAAGATCGACGTCCATTGCCCTGTGATCTGGGCTCCTGGTGTGCGAGCAAAACGAGTAAAGTCGGGTTGGCTCATCAGTCCCACTGCGATTGAACCAATTACTGTCGTGACCGCCTTGCAGATGCCCCATCCAATGTCACTGTCTGGTAGCGGACCTCGCGACAGCAGTGGTCCGCCACCGCCCGCGCGAGTAACGGCCCAAATCGTGATCGCCAGGAGCGTGCAGAATGAATAGACGTTCAGTGCCACAAACACACGCACAATTTTCCTTCGTTCGAGGCGCGCACAAAGGAACGGTACCGAGAGAAGATTGAAGACGACCCAGCCGATGAGCTGCTGCGTGGTGATATTCGCAGAAAGCGGCAGCGTATTTTCCATGCGATGGAAGGAGGGAAAAATGGCGCTGAGCATCGCGGTAATGCAAACACCACCCAGATAAGACTGCACAGCGATACCCACGATGCCACACATGATGCGCTGAATCACAGGAATGTAGGATCCACGCAGACCCCACAGCGCGCGCGAGTAGACTGGGAATCCAATGTGCCAGTCGGCACCGATGAATCCTACTGCGACTGCCACGGCAGCTATTATGATTCGTCCTATGACGATGGCGAGCATGACTTGCCATACTGACAGGCCGAGTGCGACCATTGAGGAGCCCATGGTGAAGTTGGTCAGAGAGACGTGCCAGGCTAGCCAGAAGGCGATGTATGTCCATGTTGTCCACTGGCTTCGTGATGGGGGCAGAGGCCGGATGTCGTCATTGATCCACCGATTGACGTCCTCGTGTTGCAGTCTCAAATGCCTAGAATCGATTAGTTTTGGACATTTTGGCGTCTCAAAATGTTAAACATACATTATGGCGGTATCCTATTCTACTGAGCAAGCTGCTTTGGATGCTGCTATGCTGTTACAGGCCGTTCTGATGTAGCCAAAGACTCTGTACCGTCGTGTGAGCTGGGATGAGGTGGATCTAATATATACTCGGTACCCGAGACCAGAAACAACCGACCTAGTAGTCCACTCCGCTTGATCGCTTCTTCCAACTTTAGCGGCATGACCTCGAACTAGGTCTTGCATGTTGGTAGATTGGTAATCATCAAATGCACAACATCATATTGAGAGTACATGGGAGTGGAAGTCTGGACCATACTAGAGTCATGCAAAGCCTAGTGCAGTATCCGTCTGAAACGCCAACAAGCATCCACGGACGTTTTGTGCTGACTGAGACTTCTTCTTTACGAACACTTTTGAATGAGATTTTGATAACGTGGCGAAATCATCGATGGACATGATAAAGTACTGTATCAATACATCGGACATCAAGCTAGAGTTCTTGTCTGAGAACGCACAGCAAGAATTTATTCCACGCGATATGACTAACTACGGTGTGTTTTGGAAGCTACATAGAGGAACATGAGTCATGTCATGAGACTTGTAGATCTTAGGAGCGTGGAGACATCCGGATGTCCAAGCAGCACAACTGGCCTCTCAGCGGCCTGTGGATCCCTACAATTTGTAACCGAGGATCCGCTTGGACCAAAAGCTCTCGATACTGCTCTTTCGTTCGTTTTTTAGCATTGAATAGCTGTAGCATGCTAATATCGTCTTGCAGCAGCTCAAGTCTCTGTTGTCTGGGAAGAGTGGCAGCATCCCATTCTGGAAGCACGTTCTCGGCGATGATAAGGCGCGTTCCTGGCCCGCTTTCTTCTAGGGCCGATACGATCGCCTTCAGAATGCGTACGCAATTTGCGTCGTCATTGTTGTGCAAGCAGTGCTTGAGGAAGAATGCACCTTCTTTTAAGGGCTTTTGAGGGGTGAAATAGTCGTGAACCTCAAATTTCAACCTGTCGTCCAACCCAGCTCTGGCGACCTGCTCAACGACATTTTCATTGACAAAAACATCTTGAACTACAAATTTCAAGTGTTCAAAGCGCTGTATGGAGGCTCTGTTAGCAATGATCCTTTGTTGGGGAACTAACCATAATACTTACCTCAGCCAGACATCTCGCAACTTGCCCCTCTCCCCCTCCAACGTCCACTACCATTCCTTCAACATCGTCCCAATCATACGCATCCTTGATTTCACCTAGTAACAACGGCTCATGGAGGCCGTGCTGAAATCGCGCCAGCTTTTCAGGCTGTCTCTCCCAAAACGCATAACACCCCTCACCAAACCTGATCTCAAATGCGCTGGGCTTCGCTCCATCTTCTCTCACAGGAGCCAAGAGTGCATCGGGCAAGGTCGTCGCAGACCCTCCAAACACCTCCAGACTCGTGCGGGTAAAGGATGCAAAGTGAGGGTGCTCTTTGACAAAGGCGGAGAAGCGCGTGTGGGCGAAGTTGCCTTCGGAAACTTCTTGGAAACATCCTCGGGCTTGGAGAAGGCGCATAACGCGCGTCAATACCGACGAGTCTACGCCGAATTCAGTCGCGAGCAAGGAGCTAGATGTCGTACCGTTGAGAGGAATGTGCTGGAAAATCTCTAGCTCGCTTGCGCAGCGGAATGCAGCAGTGTCGGCACATGCGCCACGGATGTTGGCCCAGTACTCGAGGGGGTGGACAAGGCCGTGTATCGCATTGTTGGCACTTTCGAGAAAGGCATTGCGGAGTTGGTCGAATTCGCGATTATCGATTTCAGAAAGAGTATCCGCTGTCTTCTCCAGGTGCGCTTCGACTTCGCTGGTCAGGGTGCGGAGTTCCCTCAGCAACGTAAGCAGGTGCGTTCTTTCTGTATCCATTGTAACTATCTTGTAACTGCTAAAATCTTTGGTACATTACCACTACTGATTCTTGCTCTTATCTATATCAGGGATTGATCATGTTATACGTTGATCGCTTTCCGGTTAGCTCGTGGTTGAGTTGGCGATGCGCGCCTCTGCGCTCGGCCACCGACGTCTGCATCACAGTGTTTCCACGTGTATACTTGCCCAAGTGAAATATAAACATGGTGGTCAACTTGTCCGTTTTGCTCATAGGGAAGCCTCCGCCGAAATGGCCAATGAAAACTTATCATTCTTCTTGTCTCCATCATGGATTCTGGTGATCGCCTCCGTCTGCGGTTCGATCGTATTACTACTATGGCGATATCTCCAGAAACCGGCACTGGTACTTGCACCAGGAGTCCCAGTAATGGGTAAGCCAGACGATTCCAGCTTTGAGAAAGCAGTTCGGGATGGCGATGAAACAGTGAGTCCCATCTCCACAAGCACCAGCTGAAAATGGCGCACTAACTTCGATCTTCAGTACCCCGAAGGCGTCTATCAGATAGCTTTACCGACCATGCCACATGTGTTCTTCCCACCAAAGGCGATGAAAGAGCTCTATTCATCGACCTCCGCAAGCTTTGCCGCTCATACGGCTGATATCCTTCTCGGGAAATACACGTATCAGGGTGAGGAGAACATAGAGCTCAAATCGGGTATCCGGGCTATGTCGAACAATCTGGACGTGGTGATTAGGTCTTTCGAGTCTGATGTTACCTATGCATTCGAAACAGTCTTTGGAAATTGCAGCGAATGGGTGACTGTGGATCAGATCTGGCCTGCTACCTTCCGGCTCGCGGCTATCATGAGCTCCCGCCCTTTCCTTGGTAAAGAGCTGAGCCGCGAACCGAAATGGTTCGCCGCCATGACAGATTATGTGGAGAGTCTGAGCAATGCAGTTGGCAGCTTGAGGCCGGTACCTACTGTCGTCCGATTCTTCTTCGAGTCGCGCATCCCACGCATCCGGAACCTTGTGAAGGCACGCGATCGTATGGAGGATCTGATGCTGCCAGTCATCCAAGAGCATCTTGATCGTTACCTTGCGACAGGAAAAGATTCCAAATCCCGGCGCACAGCTGCTATAAGCTCTGACGGGGGCGAGCTACTTGATTGGATGATTCCGGAGTACTCGAATCCATCCGCAAAAAAGCTGGCCCGCGATGAGATCACAATCATCCTTGAGTCAGTGATGAATATATCAGGAGGTCTCAGCCATTCGCTCTTTAACATCGCGAAGTATTCTGAGTACCAGGCACCACTGCGAGAAGAGTATGAGGAGGTTGTACAGAAGACGAAGGGACTGAGCAAGGCTGCCCTATTCAACATGAAGAAGATGGATAGCTTCATGAAGGAAGTACATCGCCTGAACCCCCCATCCATGAGTAAGTTCTTTTGCTAATCTAATTGAATCGTTCCAAACTAACGCATAATGATAGTGGCTATTATGAGAAAGGTAGTCGATCCAAACGGCATGCAACTCTCAGTGGGGCCCCGTATCCCATACGGGACACTGTGCGCCGTTAGTGCTGATCGCGTCAACATGTCACCAGAATATTATCCTGAGCCGAACAAGTTTGATGGCTATCGGTTCTATCGCATGCGCCAACAGCCTGGGGAAGAGTTCAGACATCAGCTTGTCTCTACTAGTAACTCTGAGATTAATTTCTCATTTGGTGGCCGAGCTTGCCCTGGTCGCATTTTTTTCTCCGCTTTGGAGAAAGTTGTGTTGGCCTATTTGTTGACAAACTATGACATCCGCGTCAAGCCAGGTCATGAGCACGTAGATAGCAGGTATATCGATGGCATCAGGGTTGTCATCGATCCTCGCGCGATTATCCAGATTAAGAAGAAACATGCATCATGAAATGAAAAACACGCAGTTCAACAAGACTTTGTCTCTCTACAACCTGTGAAGACTTTGCCACAACGTGTCCAGCCCACACAGAAGTGCCCGGGCAGGAGCCGAGATACCGTCTTCATTTTGCTCCAACCGTCACAAAAAGAAATGGCACTGTCAAGTTGTTGATATTCGCGATAGCTGTGATTCAGAGGCAAGTTTTGCGTTCGCGTGAAGATCGATCGTACGATTCATAAATGGCTCTCCGCTTTTCTACGTCATAGAAGGTTCAAAGCATTAGGTTGATGGTAATGACAGTAATGGAGCTGTCGTTAAATTGGACCGTACATGATGATTGGGAGCATGTATGCGATCAGGCTGTTTGACACTCGGCTTGTAGAGGATGTAAGCCCTTTGATTGGCTCGTAGATGTATACTTGGTTTTTGGACAGGTGGGAGAATTCTTTGGTAGTACTGAGTTAGGCTCCCCGCACGTGTTTTAGAGCTATGTGCATAGCACTCGGTCCTAGGAAAGTCCAACCTGATCCGACTTATGCCGCTCTTCCATGTATGTCGGCTTCAGCTCACTGATTGTTCTCCCGATTGTTAAATCTAGACTTCGACTTGCGTTGTATTCATGCTTTATCTAAAGTTCGCTATATAGTCTTCCTCAAGCTACGTTCAAACCTTCTCTTGAGTTACGCTCTCAACACTGATTTGGATAGTTCTCTCGTCACTAGTCTCAGAGCCAACATCGTTGTTCTTCGCGGATCGGTAAAACCCAACAAAGGTGAGACCTGCAACTCCAGTGACCCCAAGAAGCAGCCAGAAAGCGGCTCGGTAACCATTCAGCAACGAAGATTCCTCATTAGGGTCTTTGGTGTAGCTCTTCGCAGTAGCGTTAGCCAAAGCAAGTAAGATCGCGCTACCAGTCTGGTAGGCGACCATCAACATAGCTGTGGCTTGCCCATGCTGTTCTTTCGGTATAGTGTTGAGAGTAGTCGCCTGGGCACGTACTACAGCAGGCGCGTTTCCGAAGAGGTAAAGCAATGCGAAACAGATAATGTAGGCTCGATGAGCATCTAGTTGCAGCAGACCCCACGGGATTATGAAACCGGCAGTCCACAGGTAGGCTCCTCCGATCTGCACTCGGACGGAGGTGCGAGAGGCGAGGAAACTGCCCAGGGCTCCGGAGACAGTCGACGCCACAGCTGCTGGCTAGAATCATGTTAGCATATACTGTGCTTGATTGTGTGTGAACAGGTGCTCGAAACTCACCAGTAGATAAACAGCTGAGCGAATCGGTGACAGGCGAAGGCAATTCAGGTAGACCTGCGTGGCCAAGAGGATCCAAGTAGCGAAACCACCTCCGAAAATGACAAAGGTCAATAGCATCAGCATCATGTTGCGATTGAAGATGAAGGGTTTCGGAAGAATGGGGTTGTCGGTGCGACGCTCGTAGATGGGGAAGCAGATCACGAGTAGTGCGCCCAAGATGATGGTGATGAGGATTTCAGGACTGGTCCAACCACGATTACCACCATCGTCGATACCGTAGATGAGCATCGGAAGGCCGGTGATGATTAGACCCAGGCCAACTTTGTCGAACTTCTTTGTTGGGTCAGGCGTTGGCTTGGGGAACACTGGAACGACGAAGAAGCCGGCGATGCATAGGAAACTGTTCATGGCTAGAACTAACCAGAACAGTGAGCGCCATCCTGCGGGAGATTCTGTTCATGACCGTTAGACTTGTTTCTAGCAAAGATGGAACTATCGCAACCTACCGACGAGAAGTGCACCAAGGATCATTCCTGAGATCATGCCGAGAGGTCCACACATGATCAGAAGCGACAGTCCTTTCGTACGTTTTTTCTCATCAGTGAACAGATGTGTGATCATAGGCGGTGCAGTAGCCGTCTAGTACATGACCAATGGTATGTCAGCTTCTTTCTGATGGTTACTTTCTCAAAAGGGTTGGTCTGCTTACACTCATGGCTGCACCAACGCCGCAAAATACCCGCCCAGGAATGAGCCCGTATCTGCTTGGTGTTGCGGCGCAAAGCGCACTTGCCCAAGTCAAAAAACCGGTTCCAAACAGAAACCCAAAGCGCAGTCCGTACTTGTCGACAACAGCACCGGAGATAGGGAGGATTGTGGCGAAAGCGAGGTTGTAGCCGATCAGGACCCAGTTGACGTCGAATGGTGTCATGTCAAGGGACTTCATGATGGCTGAAAGCCCAAAGTTGACCATTGTTGCTTGAAACGTGTCGATATACATGGCCATACAGGCCAGTGTAGTGACGGTCCATGACAAGCGGTCAGATCTCGTGGCTTGGTTCTCAGCCCTCAGCCATGAGGGTGTCGAGATCAAGTTCATAGTGATGTCGGTATGGTGTAAAAAATGCCCAGTATAGGAAGCAATAAGATCTGGCAATAAGGACTGAGATTGTAGAAGATAGGTGTAACAGTCGTCGTAATTGGGTTGAGGGTCGGATGGGCCCGCCGGAAATTTTGCGGAAACTTACCGGAAACAAAATCAAGACAATGCCTGGAAGGCACAACTTCGGAACAAAAATGGGGGACGACACCGCTAATCAGCGGGATGCTGAGTCCCCATGACAGGGCTAAAAACACATCAAGGTCGGCTCCCGACAATTATGCATAAGTTGATCAACCCGAGTACTAGCAGAACATCATTACGTAGATCAGACCTCATTGGGCCATGCGCGCCTGAAGAGCCTCCGTAAAGGAGTTTCGGGGACTCTTGATCCACTAAAGGGGTCTCTTGGTTGAGAACGTACCGGCTGCTTGCGGACACTTGAGTACCTTGGCAACCCCAATCTTGACTCGATCTCCATCTAGTGCCAGAAAGTATGGATCTAATTCCTGCATGCTACAAACTGAGCATTATCTGGGCTCCGCACTGTATTTGCCGTAAGAACGCTAAGCATTTTTCCAACCATGGGTGCGCAAGAATGCTATTAGAAGCCCCGGCGCCACAACTACAACTCTATAATAGAAAACCTCAATGGTTCTATAAAAAAACGTAACTAATACCCGAAACCATGAGCTTGACACGCGTTCAAGCAGAGACCGCCTTCGTCTGCTTCTCCCACATCGACTTGTACCTTCCATTGATAGCCAACAGCTGCTCATGCGAACCCCTTTCGACAATCAGCCCCTGATGCATGACAAGGATCTGATCCGCGTCGGTGATAGTCGACAAACGATGCCTACGAGTCCAAGTCAGTGAAATGTCGCGCGCGACAAGCGATGCATGTAAACTTACGCAATAGCAATAGTGGTCCGTCCTTTGCACGCAGTCTTCAACGAGTCTTGGATCAAGCGCTCAGTCTGCGAGTCCAAGGATGCAGTAGCTTCATCCAGGAGCATGATCTGCGGGTGCTTGAGAACAGCACGCGCGATTGCAATACGCTGCTTTTCGCCGCCGGAGAGCCGGAGACCCCTCTCGCCAACATTGCTGTTGTATCCATCGGGGAAACTCACAATCTTCTCGTGGATACTAGCGACTTTGCAAGCAGCCTGTACGTCGTCAAAGGATGCCTGCGGGTTTGAGTACTTGACGTTGTAGAGAATGGTTTCGTTGAAGAGGATGGTATCCTGAGGCACGACGCTGAAGTGTGTACGCAGTGTTGCCATTGTGATATCGCGAATGTCGACACCGTCAATCTGTACGCTTCCTCCGTCCACCTCGTAGAACCGGAAGAGCAGCTTAAGGATGGTAGATTTACCGCTGCCGCTTTCGCCGACGATGGCTGTAGTAGTTCCCGGCTGGACTTCGAAGCTGACGTTTGCCAAGGTGGGCCTCCGTTGATCGTAGGCGAATTCCACGTTGTTGAATGATATCCTTCCTTTGCATGTGTTCATGGGCATCGCGTTGGGCCGGTCCTTGACCTGGGGTGTAATCTTGTACTAGAACGCGTGGTCGTCAGATTGAGCGTCATACCGATGGATGATTTAGGTCCACTTACAAGAGCAAGCATGCGCTCGGCATCTACCATATTGTTCTGCACCTGAGTGTAGAAGCTTCCAAAAAAGTTCAATGGTGCTTGAAGTTGTGCCAAGTATGTCAAGATTGTGACGAACATGGCGACCTTGTAAGTTCCCTCGGATATCTGGAAAGCGGCGAGGAGGCATGTGAGGAGAACGCCAAGGACGAAGATGAAGTTCTGCACCGCGTTCAAGGCATTCAGCGAGAAGAAGACAGAGTACTCCGCTTCCTGGAAGTACTTGACCAGGCGTTGGAATTTCGAAAGCTCGAGGGGCAAAGCACTGTTGTGATGCACGGTCTCGTAAGACATGATGGCATCGGTTCTGCGCGGTATGTTAGTACTGATAAGCAAGAATGGAGGTTCAGTGGACTGACTTTGCAGCATCCATCTCGCGGTCCCTCGTGGCAGCTTCGCGTCTTGCCCGGCCACGGTACTTGGCCATGTAGATGGTGATGAAGAGATAAAACCACATGACAGCAATGACAATGATTGCATAGAATGCGTCCAGGAAGACAAAGAAATAAACAGCCGCAATGGCCAGGTCAAAAACCATGGGGAAAAGCTGAAAAACAAGGCCGTCAAGGAATGTGTTGATGGCGCTGCCTTTGCTCAGCGCGCTAATGACTTCGCCAACGCGCTTACTCAAGTGGAAGTCCAAGGAAAGCTTCATGACGTGCTCGAATGCGGCCACAGTGAGTCGACGGTAGGCCGATTGACTAATAGGGATCCATAGAATCGCACGGAGTGAGCCTAGGACACCTTGCTGGCCTTGAAGACTCCGGTATAGCACGTACAACGCGATATCCTTGAGCGGTAGTTTGCCTTTGCCCAGGTGCTCCACCAGAATACCAAGTTGATGCGGCACCATGATGTTGATGGCTCGCTGTGCGACCAGTAAACCGAAACAGAAGACTGCCCATGCTTGTAGAATGCGGTTATCAGAAGGCCTCTTTTATGTTAGCCCACTCCGCGTTGCCAGTCTAGTTGCAAAGAGAACATACCAGAGATAAGGAATAAGATCGCAGAAACCGGCTAGATAGTCAAATGCTGAAATGCTCTGCGCATCTTTAGGACCTGGCGACGCAGCGGCTGGTGTAGAGCCGTAGTGCACGCTCTGTTCTGGGCTGAGAAGAGATTCTGTCTCGCTGTCGGAGGTGGGATCTTCGACCACACGTCGGCTGAAGAGGAAGAGTATCACCATCACGCCTAGTATCACAATCCTGGCGGCGCCCAGTGTCTCGCAAGCTATCGACAGCGCGTTCTGTTGTACATTTGGCGACTTCCTGGCACCGATGAAGCATATAACCAGGATAGCTGCCTCGTATGCGAGGCTGAGAAGCCATGTTTGGTAATTGGGGCGGTTCGGCGAGTAGGGTAGATCGGGGTCTGGAAGGAGAGAGCTGCAGAAAATCAAGAAAATCGAGATGATTTCACCCTGGGATGTACCGTTAGCTATCATCTCATCTTGTGACGTTGGTCCATCTTACCAGATATGCCTCGCCAGCAAACAGGGGGCCGGGAACCTGTTTCACAGAACTATATGCTGCAAGACCGGTGTTAACAGCCTATCCAAAGTCTGTGTTAGTGGTAACTTTCCCTCCAATGGCGACATGAGACTCACGAGGACAATAACTAGAACGTAATGAAGCAAGAGCAACGACTTATCCGCCCTCTCTATGCGTCGACGATTCAAGGTCTTGTTTGCAACTTTGTTGGATCCGTATAAGGCTTCATAAGAGTTGCCAGCGAGCGAAACTAGTCCAAAAGCAACCGGATACGACCAAAGGACTGCAGTCAACAACTTTTGCTCCATCGTAGGCCGCGACTAAAAAAAAAGAATTGCGTATCAGCAGGGACAAACAAGCTGTGGTGGTTCAAGAAAAACAAAGATACGGTAATGAACGACAATGGTAGAGACAGTGACTAAAGGCATAACAGCACCAATATTGAATGCATAATGGCAATATCAGCACTAGTGGTGGTCCTGATTCGGTGTGGCTTGCCAGAGTGGCCAGGGTGTAGAGGATGTGATCGGCTTCCGACCACGATCCTCGAAAGCCGACCGTCCCTGTCGATCCCGGAAGCAGGAACCGCGAACGCACATTTGGGGCGGATTTGGATTGTCAGCGACATGGTATAGGGGATATCATTCATGGGCAGAGAGCTCTCGGATAGCGCATAGTGTAATAATCTCACAGAGACCAGATGATCGTTCTTGTGGAAAGGTAAAGTAATTGCAGTCTTGAACTTGCAAAGAAACTCGGTGAGCATGCGGGTGCTAATTTCCGCACTAGACTCAGTCCAGCTAGCACATCGGAACCGTCGAATTCCGATCGGAATTTTCAAGAACATGCATTTCCACAGCATCGTTGTTACATGACCAACAACACTCTAATTCCCTATCGTAGGCGCAAACTCCAAAATCTTGCGCACAGCAGGCCGACCCAACATGCGCTCAGACCACTCCTTAATCCTAGGCCAATCCTCAATCTTGACCTGCATGAACTCGAACATGTACGGCATCGCGAACGGCAGATACGCCAAGTCGGCGACGGTGGGTCGGTCCTTGAGCGCAACATATGTCTGGTCTGGCTCGGAAAGACGCTTCTCCATGATATCCCATTGCTTGAGCACATTGGCATATAATCTGTCGTGACTGGGTCAGAACTGAAACGCAGATAAGGTGGAGTGAGGATCGGTGACTCGTACTTGTCGATTGTTTTTGGTAGTTTTTCGTTGTGCACGGCGTAGAAGTATAACCAGTACTTGGACGTCGCTCTGCGATATCCCGTTAGCCAAACGAAAAGTTTCAGCGGGGGGAGAGTGGGAGAAGCCACGCACCCCAGCCCGGCAGTTTGATACGCTATCCATGACAATATGTTTCCTTTTTCGTATTGAGTCTTGCCATGCCAGAGCCCCTCTTTGTCGTACGCCTCCGCTAGGTACTGCAGACACGCTGTGCTCTCGAATACATATATGTCTTGGTTTGTTTCTGGGTCCCGGTCGCGGATCGTGGGTACGTAGCGCTCGGGATGGATACTATGGTACCATTCGTCTTTGGTGACGACGACGGAGATGTCGTAGTCGATACCGAGTTCCTTGGCTAACATTAGAACCTTCATGTAGTTTATGTAAGAGGTCTTGGTCGCTACGCGGCGTTATCAGAATGGTAGTCTCCTGGATGTGTGCCAAGTGTGATGTATACCTTTGACGACATACAGAATCGGCTTTCCATCGTATGGTATGTTGCCTTCCTTGACAAGGGGAAACTTGGTATCAGTAGAGTCCATCCTGTATGATGATTTTCGATGCGTATCTCTGTTGGTGATCTGTAGATAAGACTAGACTTTGCATGGTTTTATGAAAGCGTATGATATTCTATTCGGCTTCCGACGATGGAAGTTATCACCCGTGACAATATGATGGCAGACGGCGTCACGCATGTAATAGACAGCTCAGACCGCCAAATTGCTTTAGAGCAAAACAAACCCCCTAGCAGTAATACGGTAGTGATGAAGTATCTCACAGCTACTGCAATGTCCTCCTGGGGGGTCATTACACGCCCACTCTCTCAATGTGGAAAGAGATGTAGGCGGGGTGTCGCGTCTCATTCCACTGAATCCCTGCAAGATCAGAGTGCTCGGGTGCCGATGAAGCCTGTGAGCAATAATCCCACCATGGTCGGCCATGGCGTTGAGCTGCATCGTTCGTCGGCGCCAAATTCATGACTATAGTCCATTTGTAGCCATCGCAGCCCGTCCTGGGGGAAAACCTGCTGTATGAACCCTATCTCACAAAACTCATCCTACGTTCTTTCGAAATCTGGACTCCAAGTATGTTACTCCAGGACGTCATTGGCGCCAGCCCGCTGGACCCCAAGCATCTGGCGTTGGGCCTAAGCGTAACCACCCTATTCACCATTGTCCTAATCAGAGCCCGCTCATTCGTTCGTGGGGTCGTGACAAAGGTGCTTTCGGCTGTTCTGAACGTACGTGGTAACACCCAAGAAGGCTGAGCTAGGCGTGAACTTACAAGGCGTAGTGGTATTTGCACTGGGCGAATCCTATCAAAGACGAGCACGGAAAGAAGAGCCTGCCATCGCTACCCTACATATGGCCGAATGGCAATGGAGACGTCGCAAAGTTCCTCCAAGGTCGCGAGAATGCTGAGGGGTGGCGTAAGGCGCATGGATCTACCTACAGAATCTGGTCCGGATCTGTTTCAGAGATGTAAGTATGGTGCTATACTGCAATGAAGAGTTGACCAACAACTGTGTTTAGTGTCGTCTCTGACCCACAGCACCTGAAGGAGCTTTTCAAAGACTCGGATCAGCATTACAAAGCCGTCAACAATGATTCCGGGTACTTGATGAGCCAGATCCTAGGACAATGCGTTGGTCTGCTCAGCGGGAAGTCATGGCAAAGTCTACGAAGCCAAATGGAGATTCCATTCACACACACGGCCATCTCGAACAACGCAGCCATTGTGCGCGAACAGACGCGAAAGTTTGTTGAGCAACTGCGCAATAACGGAGACTTCCGCAACGGCATATTCGATCCGGCCAAGGACATTAGCTTCTATCCGTTCCTTGTCGTTGCAACCGTCTTGTATGGCGACCTCGATGCAGAAGATGTGCGATGTCTTAGGAACATTGCGCCTGTGCGCCAAAAGCTCTTTACCTATGTTATTAACGGTGGCATGGCGCGATTCTGGATATCCAAGTTCTTGCCCACCACGGCAAACAGACTTTTGGTCGAGTTCCGGCGAGAGTGGCTAAGCTTCAACGAATCCATGTACAAAAAGGCCAAGGCCAAGGGAGCTGTGACTGCCATGACAGAGCTGTGGGAAGACTGCCAGGCGGGCAGGGTCTCTCAGACACAGCTGCTGCAAACGTTGGACGAGTCGCTCTTTGCCAATCTGGACGTGACAACAGGCGCCATCTCGTGGAACTTTATCTATCTCGCCGCATCGCCCGAAGACCAAGCCAGGCTTCTCGAGGAAATTGAGAGGGAGAGTGGGCCAGACGATGCTCGCTGGGACGCCTACGTTGCTCGAGGCGATACCTTTCTCGCAGCCTGCATCAACGAGTCATCGCGTCTGCGGCCCGTCGCACCTTTTTCTATCCCGCAAGCTCCACCTTCGGACCGCAAGATTGGCGAATGGATCATACCCGCGCGCACAATGGTCATTGTGGATACGTATGGGCTGAACATTCGCAACCCCTTCTGGGGCGACAAGAGCGGCGAGTACATCCCGTCGCGGTTCTTGGAACTCAAGCCAGCGCAGACGCGATACAACATGTGGCGTTATGGATTTGGGCCGCGCCAGTGCATGGGCAAGTATGTTGCGGATCGTATGCTGCGGAGCATAATTGCGTCCATTATCAAGGAGTGGCAGGTGCAGCTGCGACCACAAGATGCGAACCGCGACTACTCTGTGAATCCCGACGAGTGGATCACACACCCTGATATCCGGCTCATCTGCACCAAGCGACGGAGCTGATGGATGTTGTTTGTGTTATAGATACGCAGTGAGGCGGAGCGGGTCGGAATTGATGATTGTATATCTAGTTGCGGAGATTTTCGGTCCCGCGCGCAAAAGCATCAAGTTGAGAAGTGGGCTGTGATGGAAAGTGCAGCCAATTCGCGGGTCGTGTGATTGATCTAATGATGAGGATTGACGGGTGTGTCTTGGGTCTACCGAGCTAGCTATGATGGGATGAGTCATCCTTGACACAGTCATGTGATATAAACGTGACTTTGATGTTGGTCGGAAGTTCCGACGCACCGCGTACTCTCTCGGGTGCCTCTGTCATTCCGCACTACAATTACTTTGGTTACTCATGCGGAATGTCCATCGTCCAATGTCTACAAGAACAATTGTTGCAATACTCTAGTAACACATTCATCACGCAGCGCTACAAACACCCAACTACGAATACGCTCGCCGACGCAGCAGCAAGAGCGGCGGCAACAAACAGGACACTGCCGCCCGGGTGAGTGCTTTGCCATGCACCCAGCAATGGGGCAGAGGCCAGGCTACCTAGGCCCTCTGCGACGGAAATCGCAGCAACTACCAGGGCATCGTGCTGTCTGCGCTGCACGAGATGGGCCTTGACAAAGGACGGGGTCGCCAGGCCCAGCGACACAAGAGCTACCATGGGGAACAGAGCCCAGGCGACATGAACCATGGCGAGTGCGGCCAAAGCAGCCACGAGGACGGTGAGCGAGATCAGTACGGCGGCGGCATGGCGGGCAGGACGAGAGGCGGCGGCGGCAATGACGAGGTAGACGGATGACGTGCCTGCTGCGACGGACAACAACAGCCCGTTTTGGGCCGGGGTGAAGCTAAAGTGCAGCGTCGCGTATACCATGAGGGCGGGGAACATGTACGATATGGCGGCGTTGTACAGAAACATGGCCGCACCATGCGCCGCCACGACGCGGTCGCTGAAGAGGCGCAGTGCTGGGCGGGCGAGGGCTGTGAGGCGCGAGGGGCTGTCATCGCCGCCGCTGCTGTCGGCTTGGTTGGCAACGGTCCCCCCGTCCAGCGGGCCCACCAACGCCAGGTAAGCCGCTGCCACGGCGAAGATGACGAGCGCGACGGCGAAGGAGACGCGGAAATCCGACAGCAGGGCTGCCAGCGCGGGGCTGAGGGCCATGCCGGCCATGTACAGCGCGAGCGACGCAGACATGAGGCGGCCGACGTGGCGCTGGTCGCTGCTGCGCGCGTACAGCCCGTTCAGCACCATGTGCAGCGTATTGTCCGTCGCCAGGCCCTCGAGCACACGCGCGCCCAGTGCGAGTCCGACGCTCTTCCGCACCACTATCTCCACTCGTCAGCCATGCACCTGTATGTAGACGTTGCCTCGTCCGTCGCCTCGCCCCGCGCTTGCGCTGCCTTACCTCCCGCTCCAAGCACCACGACGCTGCCTGCCCTGAGCCCTATCCATACCGCAAGCCCCAGCCGCGTCGACAGCCGCTCGTATATGCCTACTGCCGCGAGTCCGCATACATTCGCAAGCGTCGTAGCCACGGCCACGGCCGATGCGTACGCCGTCTTTTCGGCATCTGCGCACTGCGACGCGTCCTTGCAGAGTATGTGTGCATAGGCGTAGACTGTCGAGGCTGCCGTCGCAGCCATGGCACACGATGCGAGCAGCGACACGGGCATGGCCTTGTAGCCAGCCGGCGTTTCTTTCGCTGTCCATAGCGGCGTTTCGTCGTCGGCTGCCTCAACTTCGTTGCTGTCTGCGCGCAGCAGCCAGTCTGTCTCCGTGTCCAGGGCCATGCTGTTCCTTAGTTGGTGTCTCGTCCAAAAAGATGACGGTACAGTTTCGTCCAAGGAGACAGGACGGTCTTGTAGCTCGCGCGTCATCGTCTGATGAGCTCGGTGACCGACGGATCGCATTATCCACTCTTGCACGCTCAATTGACTGCCCATCATCATCATATTGCGCATGCGACTGCATCGTCATCAAGAGGCAGCATGTGCATTTGCTCTATGGAACAGTCCACACTACTAACCCAGCCCTTCCATCCCGCTTCAGTGTCCGATGCTAGGCGCTGAAGACATGACCTTTTGTACCGCCGGCCGTGCCAGCATCACTTCTCCCCAACGCTTTATGTTTGGCCAGTCGTTGACGTCCACCCCGAAAAAGCTAAACATCCACGGCATGGAAAAGGGAAAATACGAAATGTCGGCAAGGGTCGGCCGGTCCGCCAAGGCAATGTACGCTTGCCCTGGCAGAGCTAGCCGTGCTTCGAGCATATCCCATGCTTTCAACGTGTTTGCGTGGAGTCTGCGCGTGGTCAGAAAACTTGTTCATGTAGACCTCGGTGCAACAGCCTACTTTGCGCATGTCTTGGGCATAGGCTCTGGGTTTTGCCTGGTGGGATATCCTCGCATAAAGTAGAGCCAGTACTTCGCCGTCGCGCTATGAACGTTAGGAGAAAACGTTTTTGCCACGGCTCTGATAGACATACCCAAGCCCGGCCGTCTGGAAGGCCGTCCACGAGAGAACCTGCGCCTTTTCCCACGCCGTCCTACCCGACCATGCCCCATTGCTATCATACTTTGCAGCCAGATACTGGAGGCATGCTGTTCCCTCGAAAACGATAACCGTCTCTCCAGTCACATCATCTTTGTCTTTCAAGGACGGAACCATGCGCTCTGGATGCACCGCGTAGAACCACTCATCCCGCGTATCGATAACAGAGAGCAGGTATGGGCAGCCAAGCTCCTCAGCAAGAATCAACGGCTTGATGTAATTAATGTACGAAGTCTGATCGGCTACACGTCGACCATGTTAGCTGCAACCCAGTGGCTCGTGCTCCGGGGCCCCGCACCTTTGATGACGTAAAGAATGGTCCTGCCGTCGTGTTCTACGTCCCCGATGACTACCACTCCATTGGCTCGCGAAGCTACTGCTGAATTCGTCATGTTTGCTGGATATTCGTAGGTGATATTCTCGTCTTCTTTCTGTTTAAAGAGGATACGGGTGGTAGTCACTTTGTGCATGTGCGAGTGTTGGTGCGATCAAAGAAAGCCACGCTCGGTTCCCGACCACATCGACAAGCGCATCGCTCGAGTAAGCTAGGCACTATACTTTCCGCGCACTATACTTTCCGCGCACCCCACTACAATCGTGATCTCTACACTCAACGCGCAACAACGCAACTATAACGCACTTAATATAGCTAATTATAAGTTCCTTATATAATCTACTATTACTAATCTTAATACTAGCATTTTTTTAAGCTAGCGATAAGCTTATTAGGTATATAATATACCTAAATTAACGCTACGTAGCTACTAAGTAGATTAATAATACTAACGTAGTTAATAAGTAAGTAACGCAGATAAGCAAGTAACGCACTTTTACTAAGACCTAACTAAACTTTAAGCACACTATAATACCTTAACCTAATAACGTAAAAAAGATCTTAAATAAAGTAGATATATAGCTTATAATACTAGCTATCTAATAAAATATAACACTAACAACGCAACGCGCTATAGCTAACTATAGCGTCTCTAAAGTAACACTATAAAGATAACTTACTAGAACGCCTTAACGTTATAATACTATACTAAAATTAATAGCTCTTTAATAATCTAAAGAGGTAGTAATTATTAGGTATATATTAAAGCTATTAGAGTAAGAATACCTACCTTAGCTTATTAATATTAAAGAAATAGCTAATTCTTTACTCTAGGTTTATAACTAGAATCTAGTTAGTAAAAGATAGGCTATAAACTTTATAAAGCGCTGTCTAGAGCTTAAAGTTAAGTTTAATTAAAAGTATAACTATAGTAGAGCCTTCTATAAAGATTCTAAGGTTATAAAAGGCTAGTTTTGCCTAGTATAGAATACAAAAGCTAAGTATAGTATCTAGAATAAAGATATATATAACTTTAATAAGACTAGCTTTATAATAGATATAATATTAACTAAATTAGTAGTTATAGTAGTAAAGTATTAAGAATAGCTAAAGATAGTATAATAGAGTAACTAGAAGTAGGTTATAGCTATCTAAGGTATTAACGTAATAGAATAGATAATTTTACTCTTTATTATCTTTGCTAGTAAGTACTACTTCTTAGCCTAGTATAAAAAGAAAAACCTACTCTAGAACTAGGTTATTAGAGTCTCTAAGAATAGCTAGATAATAAATAAGCTTAGTATTAAGTAGCTAGAGTACTTTAATAGGTATACAAAGAGAAAAGTTATTAGTAACTACTATCTACTAGTTCTTAATAGTTATAAAAGTTATAGCTTAATTAATTTCTACTAGCTCTATAAGAAGAAGAAAATAATTACTCTCTATATACTTTCTTACTTATTACTATAAGAGACTATACTATATTAAGTAGATAGTTCTAGTTATATAACGTATAACTTAGCGCTAACTAAAGTAGTAAAGTATAAGATCTATAAGAGGTAAGTTATATATATAAAAAGAACTTTTTTTTTCTTATCTTTCTTCTTCTGTATATAGAATAAATATATACTTATTAATAGATCTCTTTCTACCTATAATATAAGAAGAAATATTATATATTTTTTACTTTTTCTTCTTATACGTAATAAAGTTAGAATTAAAAATAACACTTTTATATACTACTATAATATAGCTAGATAATAGCTATAAAGTAATAGACTTAGCTAAGACCTATAAAGTAAAAGAAGTAGAGACTTTCTTTTAACTATAGAGTAACTTATATAGATATTTATAATAAAAGCTTATTAATATAATTAGTATTCTTAGAGAAAATCTAAACTAAATAGTAATAGAATAATAATTATATAAAGCGCTATAATAATAAATATAAACTCTAGCTTAAGTAGTATCTTATAAGAGTCTAAGCGTACTAACTCTAAGTAGAGTATTATCTTATACTATATTAGTACCTATACTACCTTTACTCTACTAAAACACTATACGTTAATATAAGAAACTAAAACTACCTAACGTAGAGGTATTTAAGAAAAGCTTATATAAAGACTATATCTAATAAAAAACGCGTATATAAGTAAAACTCTTTATAAACTAATAAGTCTACTCTTCTAAAGAAGTCTAGATATACTATATTATTACTTATATAAAGAGCTAGGCCTTTACTATCTTAAGAATATATATTATAAGTATAATAGAAGACTCTTTATAACTATTCTTAGTGCAGCTTTAGAAGTAGCTTAATAGGTTTTTTATAAACTTTATAATCTATAAGAAAGTAATATAGTAGATCTATATAACTAAATAGAAAAAAAGTAAGTTTATTCTCTATGTATAGGCCTTTAACCTAAATTTTTTAGAAGTAAGTCTAGAAAATATAAGTAATATCTAGAAGATTAACTATCTTAAGAACTCTCTTAATAAAAGATTATTATATTACTAAGTAGACTTTTAGCTTATAAAAGATAAGTTATATAAAAAATTTATCTAGAGAATATATATTACCTAGAAAAACTTTAGAGCTATAGATTAATATAGTTTCTATATACTACTAATAACCTCTTTATATAATACGTCTAGTAATAATAATATAATAGATTAGACTTCTACTATAGTAGCGTTCTAGTTTTATATAAAAAGAAAATTCTAGAGAATATAAACTTAGGTTTAGAAAAGAAAAGAGTAAGAAAACTATTTAAGATATAGATACTAAGGCTATAAAGTTACTTAGTACTAAACTAAAATTAGAAAGTAACTTACTTATATAAAAGAAAAAGAAGCTATAGTTACTATAGTTACTTTTATAAGAGTAGATACTAACTCTAAGAAGTTAGAAAAAGAAAAGCTTTAGCTTAAAAACGTAAGCTAGAGCTAAGTATAGTAAAGTCTTTTTAGGCTGTATAATCTCTTTAGAAAATTCTATTATAGCTAGTAGTAATCTTTTCTATATTAATAGATATTATAATAAATAGCTTAGAATACGCTACTACTATAGTTAATAATAGTTATTACACTTATAGAATTATAACTAAGAAGCTTATATAATTAAAAAGCTTACTACGTATAGAGATACTCTAAATCTAGATTAATAGAGTAAATAAGTAGAAGAGCTTTATTAACGCTATTATAGAGTTTAACTTAAATATTAGAGAATTAAAATAATATACTATAGTATATATTATTTCTATAATATATAATTATAATATAATTCTTAGAAAGTTATAGCTAGAATAAGTTAGTAGAATTATTAATTCTAGCTAGTATATATTAAGGCTACTCTAATATAGTATTACTATACGCAGTATAGAGTTATAAAAAAGAAAGATAAACTTCTCTCTAATCTCTACTATAGTTTTCTAACTATATATATAATAAAATTAGTAAGAGAAGAATAAGATATAGATATTTATAGTAAGTCTTTATAATATTAAAAAAGCTTTCTAAATTAAGACTCTTTTAATAGTAGAGTAAATCTACTAGTAACTTCTAGAATACCTATAGTTATATATATACTTATTCTAACTAAAGAAAAAAGAGAACTTTCTACTCTTATAAGAGTTTTAGATAGACTACTAGCTAAAGCTAAAATAAAAGAATAGTAAAAATCTAAAGATTCTGTATAGGTCTCTCTATAGTATATTAAGAGATAAACTATTAGTACTATAAAAGATACTATATAAGCTTCTAGATAAAGAGTTTATATAAGTAAGTAAT